TAATTTTTAGTGAATTTTTCCTGCAGGACCCCAATTTTCCAGCAAATATATTTTTTCGAATTTTGATCTGAAACTTTGCCCACACGAAGATGTCAACTAAACTAGCTTTCATAAAAAATTTCAGAACTTTTGAACAAAGTCTCTCTGAGATATGAATTTTCCAAAAGATGCATGTTTTATACACTATCTATGGAAAAGCGCCCATATCGTGAAAAATTTATATTTCGGAGAGACTTTGTTCAAAAGTTCTGAAGGTTTTTATGGAAGCTAGTTTAGTTGAGGTCTTCGTGTGGGCAAAGTTTCAGGTCAAAATTCGAAAAAATATATTTGCTGGAAAACTGGGGTTCTGCAGGAAAAATTCAATAGCTCAGTCGCAGAGGCCCATGCACCCAAACCAAGATAGACTTTTTCACTGCTCACTAGCACCTATCGAATGGCAATGGTCCTGAGCGAAAAGTGATTTTACACCTGGAGAAGTTCCCTCGTAAGAAGGAAATATCGACTAACCTCCTCACATTTTCCGTTCTTTTAGAAATTAAAATTTATTTGACATAGCAACAATTAGTTTGAGTTGCTTTCAAAGATTTATTTTCATTTAATTTTTTCAGAAATTCTCGTCTCTACAGATCGATCATTCAATTTCAAGTCTAAATTATTGTTAAAAATATGCACGAGAATTACTTGACGTCGAATTTGCAACATGTCAAAATCTCTGTTCGAAATCGTTGAAAACTTTGATGCAAAGCATGTCGTCTATTCATTCGATTGCCTGGCTCTGAAACATACTCTACCCAATGGATCAGTCGATGTCTGTCAACAAGCGATCGGGTGTCGGTGAAAAGAAGAATCTCACATACCCTTCCATATGGAAGAATGGTTAGGATATTTATAATCGAGCTAATACGGTCGGAATCGATCCTATAGTGAATCATGGCAGCAAATATTTGAATGCTGATCTAAGATATTGCACGTCCATCTTACAAAATTCTAATTATCAGACTTTGCAAGAATATTATATTGAGAATGGTGCAAGGTTCACACAAGCGTCTTGCTGTAAGATATTTGTACGACTTTTTTTTGGATCATACAGTATTAAACTTACGGCATTCGATAGTCACTAAGATCTTTGTAAGATTTTTCCATCAAGATACTCGTCAAAACTGAAACGAATCAAAAAGAATTTCTATTCTACAGTTCATTTTATATCTTATTAAAAAAATATATTTATTTTTTAATCACAGAAAAATAATCTTCATTACTCTGATTACTCAATCATTGTGTCAGATGTTAACTATACATTTTCATGTTAAAATCAATATTTCTCAATGTATATGGCAATAATTGCATCTGTCACAGCAATCTTTGTTTTTATTACCATTTATTGACAAAGTCAACAATAATTGATAAAAGAGGAAGAAAAAAAGAAGTTATTTATTTATTAGTCAACAAAGTACTTCGAGATTTTTAATTATTATTAATTTACACTTTAAAATAGATATCTTCTAGATATTTATTATTGCATTGTTTAAATTCACGCCTTACTGTGACAATCACATCAGTTGGAGGCGGGAAATCAGTATTAAGCACATGTTTTAATATTCAATTGTAGATCCTTAGAGAAAAAATGTAATGACAATACCAATTCATCATCATTTAGAAAACAACTTAAATATTCACGTTAGTTAAACATTTCTCAAGAGAAATAATAGAGTTTTTTTTTTTTTTTTTTCTGAGTAAATCCTATTTCGAAAAAAAAAAGAAAAGCAAAATGACATTAAGCAAACATACATTATCCATTGATATTGATTTTACTAGTATCTCTTATTCTACTTTGATCTTTGTCAGTATACTGGTACATTGACCGAATGTCAAAAATAAATCTTATTGTAGTTATATACATTCCGACAAAATGGTATAAACAAAACATGTCGACATACTAATCGTTCTAATGCAAACATACAAACCAGCAGTATTCCCATTGTGAACGTTTGATCTTCTCAGACACATCACTTAGCAACATTATTATTATTATTATTCATGTTCACCAAAGTTACATTTTTTTAATCCCATGAACTATCAATAACCGATCAATTATTATTGACAATGACAAGAAGAGATCACGCACTCACGCGTGTATGTTTTCTTTTTTTTTTTCAATTATATACCTGCCATCTTCCATATGTGCTCATACACACACACACATATATATAAATACATACCTACTCATCGATATCGTTCATTAACAGTCGATTTAGAAAAGAATTGTCATCGATGCATCACATCAAGAATACAATTTATTCATGCGCGCCGTCTTCTGAACGATTTGCAATGAGCCACAAAACAGAACAGAAGAAACCGCGACATACATCGATCTAACGGAATGTATTTATAATTTGTTCAGGGTGTTAATTGGCCTTATTCTTTCTTTTGTCTTTCATATAAACTTCAATTGAGTATGTTTTCTATGACGAGAAGAAAAGTCATCTTGTTTAAACGACACATACTTATATATACCATCTGGAACCACTAAGTATCATAAAATGACATATAGACAGCAACAGCTACTTTGAATGACTCGTTTTCATTTATATATATATATATTCTCAATGTTTGCCCTAAGCAAAAAACACGAACAACATGAAACTATCTTTATCAGTAATTTTGTTTTTTTTCTTGCTTCATCCTTATTGATTATATGCTCATCAAATAGTGATTCATTTCTCATATGTCTACTTCGTCCGCCTCATCATTTCAACCTAATTTTAATGTAAAAAATAAATCATACAAAAGAAGACCATCGATCATATTCGACGATATGACGTCAAACTTAAGCTATCAATATAGTTCTCTTCAAGTGTATACTGTTTGTATTACGTGAATAAATGACAAGCGAAATTACACACCTTATATCGTACTATCTCTGTCTCTTTCGCTCTATTTTTTTTTTCTTATGATTATTATCATTCCATTTCTGACATATGCCAGCAGGCAAATAGACAGCCAACTGTATTATAAAAGAGATAGACACATGGGAAGATTTTTCTTTCTTTTCTCTTTTTTTTTTTATTACTCGAACAACCAATTATTGATGAGCACGCATACTCTCCTATTGGTAGCTATGCGCATAAGTGATGGTTTATTTTTTCTTCTGCGCATTTACGTTCGCCTCGACAATGAGCTGCTAGAGGGTGGGAAGAAAGAATGTATAGGGTAGTCGTAACTAGTAAAAGAAAAACTCAATCAAATCATGTCCTTCGTTTGTATATGTATCTTTCTTTCTCTCTCTCTTCGCTTGAATGAATATGTGCATTTTTTCTTCTTTTTTGTTTTTGTAACTACCAATCAATAAATACTTTCCTCATCACTTACACTCTCTCTCTTTTTTTTTATTTGCTCTTTACTCAACTAGGAAAAGACAGAGAGAGAGAGAGAGAAGACTCAATCACTTTTTCTTTTTCTTTTCATATTGAATGATTAAGTTTTATATTATCTACTAAATAATTATGTATCATCCATCTATATGGCATCCAATTGATATGGCTGCTGCATTTCGTTCAATACGTCAAACAACATCATCACCAAATACAAGTCCAGAAAAAACTTCTGTATCAGGTTTTAATGCATCTTTTTCTGTAAATACACTTCTTAATAATCAATCTTCATCCGATCAAATACGTATACCAACAACAACAGCACATCAACATAATCTATTTTCAAGTCTTTTTCAACATTATCCATATGCACCTGCATTTCGTCCATTATTTAATGGAACAACAAATTCATCATTAGAATCTTCAGCATTTTTACCAGCTGGAAAACGTTTTAAAAATGATTCACATGATGAAAATCATTGTGAAACAACATCAAATAATGATGAAAGTTTTGGAAAACATACAGGTATAAAAATCAATTGAATACAAACACTTATGTTTTTCTTTTTACCGATTGATCAAAGAAAAAGAAAAAAAAAAGAAAAACTCACCATATGAATCTAGTTGAAAATCTCACATTAAGTGAATATTGCAATTTGTTTAATTAACAGAAGACAAAATTAATTTATTTACGTATGAGAAATTAGTTTCCTTTCACAGTATCTTGTGAAAAATATAGACAGGATGTTTCTCAACACAGACACATTTTGTTTTTTTTTTTTTTTCATATGTGAGAATTATAAAAAGTAATCATAATTTGCCATTATATTCAGTCATAAATAAGATCAAAACAAAAAAAAAAGACGAGATTGATTGATAAATCGATATTTAATAAGAATATTTTCATTGCACAGACGGTGATTTTCTCTTTCTTACTCTTTAAAATCAAGTATGTATAATCAGTCACTTGGGGCACACACTACCCACTCTTGTTGATACAACATATATTGTAGCATTATTCAGCTGTACAATCAAATTCTGATGTTAGGCTATTTAGACATATGGTATGATAGTGATCCAGAAGTAATAAAATAATCAAACTCTTCTGTATGAAGAATAAAACAAAAAAAAAATGAACAGCTCGCTTTAATTAAATAATACCTGACGTTTGGTTTTTTTTTTTTTAAAGACAATCGTTGTCGATCATCTACAATTGATTTACAAAATCCACAATGTCCTATTTGTCAAGTATCATTAAATGGACAAGATTTAATTACACATGTTCAACAAGAACTTGATAGTATTAAACGTCGACAACAATATAAATCTAAACGTGAAAATAAAGTAAAAAAAAGAAAATTTTCTTTTTTAAAATCATTCATAATTATTTATTTTTTTGACTTTTTTAGATTTTTCAAGATAATAATAATAATATCGATCAAACATTCAAAACACGATATGAAGTACGTATTTTAAATAGAACGTGATGTCCCCTAATAGAGTTCAAAACTTTCGTTTTTTTCGAAAACAAGATCTTCTTCTTATCATCGAATTCTGACATTTTGTATTATATATTTTTTTTGTTAGACTTTTTTACGAGTACGAACAAGTCGACAACAACGTTTAAATGGTAAATATTTACTTCTTATTTTAAATTTTATATTTAAAGAAAAAAAAAAACCCAAAAACATTATTTTTTATAGCTAGATTACAATTACATCATCGTCGATCAATTCGTAATGATACACGAAATTGTCCAATATGTTATCAATCAATTCGAATAAATTCTGATGATGAATATTTTTTTACTCATGTTCAACAATGTTCAAGAAAAGTATATAAAAGATAAAAATAAATAAAATAAAAATTTCTTTTTTCTTTTATTAGAGAGAACAATTAGCAGCTGTAGCTGCAATAGCCAATCATCATCGTTTATCGTCACCTGAAGATCCAGATGTTAATGTTGTTGATATTGATGATGATATTGAACGAGATGAAAAAAGTACAAGTGGAACAACTAGTCTTAGTTGTCAAGAATCATTTAACAGTGATCATAGATATTCTCCATCAACTCAAACAGATATATTATATACAAAATCACCTAATGTTCCGGAACTTGATCCACCAAAATGTGTTGTTTGTATGGTGAGAATTATTTAATTAGAAAAAAACAACTAAATCAATAAATAATTCTTTTATTTATTTTGAATAATCAATTTAGTAGGAATCATGTGTTAAACCGTGTGTTTCAATTAATTGTTGGCATATTAATTGTGAAGAATGTTGGATAAAATATTTCAATGAAAAAAAAACTTGTCCACAATGTAATTTACCCATAACGTTGAATAATCTTCGAAGAATTTTTTTTCAATAAAATATCAAAATAATTCATTCGTTGTTTTGTTTTTCATTTTCGTTTTCTTCTTCTTTTCTGTGTGTGTGTGTGTGTGTATTGTATCGTTTTTCTTTTTTTTTTTTCGTCGTGTGTGTAAAAAATAAAATAAAATGCTATTTTTTATTATACTAATAACACTTCATTTGTTGCAATCAAACATTCCGCATTTCGATCACATATACAATAGATCACTTCAATAGACATCCGTTTGCCGTTATGAATAAATTAAAAAGTAAAAAAAAAAAAAAGACTATAGAGAATGACTTTCGGAAATCATGACATTTCTATTGAAATATTCAAAAGAATCATCTGTTATTTTTATTGCATTGATTTTTATCAATAAGTCAAGTTAATAGAATAGAAAAAATTTATTCGTTCAAAAGCAAAGATGTTCTTCCTTCACAATTGGTAAATTAAGATAAATCCTACTTGAACACATTCGATTTCGTAATACATACAAGTCTTGTTTACGCACTTGACAATGTATTGAAAGTTACAATTAAATTATTGTTTTAGTCAAGAATCGTAAAACGAAATATAACAATTAGATCGATATTTGTATTTTAGAATAGTTTGTGAATTTAAATTAAAGATAGTTATTTCCCGAGATACACTCGACTTTCACTATTATCCTAATTGATATTGATTGAAATATTAATCAAAACAGAATTTGGTGCTAAGTAAAATCGATACGAACACAATGGAAAATGAACCAATCTATCATAATTATCAATCAGGGATGAGTTGTAGAAAGTATACCAAGACAATATTCCTAATTGAACCAAAAAAAAAAAGACAAAGTCTTAATATTTATTATAACAGTAGATCCATTTTCTATTATATTTTTCTTTCGTTGTATAAAATCAGTTAAGAATTGATCTAAGACGATTGTTATTATGAACAAATGTTTATCAATCAATTGAAGTTCTATGAACAGCTAAATCTGAAAAAGACAAATCTTTGATTTGATCTAATACAATTATTTTATTTTTTTTTAAATTCTATGATCATTTTTATTATGTTAGTGTTATTCTATCACTTCGATTGTTCAAATATTCTTAAAGATGATGGATAGCATGTTTGTTATTAAGTATGTTAACGATTATTTTATTAACACTTGTATAAAAAGAAATCAATTAGATATGATGCGCGTGCTTGTCCATGATCATTATGATGAATAACAATGAGTAATGTTTGTTGAGTTGATGAGATTGTCTATGACGTCAGTTTTGTTATTTTCAATATAACTTGATGACTTAGTGGGTGTTCGTGAAACGATTTACTTTCACACATATATTTTGCTTTTTTTTATAACAGAAAAAAAAACATTATTATTGTTGAACTTGTTATTATTATTATTATTATTATTGTTCCCCTCTCGATTCACATATATGCGAAGGATAGAAAAAGACAGTAGACACGCGAAAAGAATGTTATGAAGCAATACTAATGGTTTATAGATTTCGTTTGTCTACGCCCAGTTTTATTTTTCACCTAACCGATATTGTGACTAAAGTGTGACAATTTATAGTGATAAAAAAACAAAAAATACATTGAATAAAACACCTTTACCGTTATGCTTAGCAGATGTTGATTTAGATGTATAAAATTTATTCGAGTTAGAAAAAACAAAAAAATTATAAATATAAATCTACAATAGATTTAGATATATATATATATATTTATTAATTATAAACAAATAAAATTATAGATTGTGAAAGGCTTCAAAAAAGCCATAGGGAATTTTTCCAATGTTTTGCAATTATAAACAATAAGAATTAATTATTAAGAAAGTTTATATTATATATGATTTCTTATTTGCATAGTTCATACAAAAAAAATGATATAGAAATCTTTAGAAATACAGGTTTATCTATATGGACAAAAAATTTCTTTGATAACATAATATGATATTTTTTGAATTAGTATCAACACTTTTATTTACTCGATCTGTGTTTGTTTCATTATAGAACAAGTCGCTTTAATTAAGTTCTAGTTTGACGAAAGAAAAATATGAAAATCAATAAATAAATGTTATGATAAGTATCTAAATGATTATTCAATACTATCACGAATAGTGCAAAACACTTATATCGAATTGAAACACAAGGAGAGAATAAAAATCATGAAGATAAACTTGTTCTTGTCTACGTTTCTTATCTTAAATTTCGGAATTTCACTGAAAATTTTTTTTTGCACGTACATGTGATGGCCATTGTAACAAATCAAGCAGGATATAACTAAGTCGTAAATTCATCAAATGATGTCTATGATAATGATTGATATTCTTGTAGTCAAACTAAAGTATGATAATGTTTGTTTTTCGTTCCGGGAATAATATGTGAAGATCCAAATCAATAAAATATTGAGTATTCTTCATATGGATTTCGATTACTATTGATTTATTATTTTTTCTTAGTTGAGCCAGAGCTCAATACGATTGCAAAACGGTTTTTTTTCTTCTTCTGAGCACCATTCAAACTCTAATCATGATAATCGGACTTACTCATGAGACTATTAATTTTAAGACGAAATAGAGTTTTCCTAATTTGTTCTCGTCTTTTTTTTGATTCAGAAAAATGATAGATTTCAAATCATCATAAGAAGTCTATAACAGCAGTTATATGAAATATACTATTTTTTATTGATTCACCTCAGTATCAACAAAAAATCTACGCATTATTTTCATATATGTATGATCAATAATAAATATTTTATTTTATTTTTTTTTCTATTTATTTATTTAAAAAAAACTGTCAACATCCATTGATGTTACATTACGTGTTAATTCATCTTTAAGTATATCAAGTACATTTAATGATTGATTTTGTATTGATGTTGCTAATTGTGTATAAAGAGTATTTTCATTATTAGATGGAGATTTTTCTGATAAATCATCTAATGCTTGTTCTAAATGATCCAATGTATGACATAATAAAGTATATACTGGTAAATATGCTTCTTGATTTATTTTGAAACGTTCATCTAATTGTTCTGGTGTTAATTGAGTATGTTCTTTATCTGGTTTAGCTGGACTTATGAATGATGATCGTTTACTCAGTTGAGAAGCAGTACCACTAACTGTTCCACGTTTACCAACAGCGGATGGTGCTTGGGATGGAGCCGGAGATCTTTTTGGAGACTATAATAAAAATATAGATTTTTTTTTTTGTCTAAAAATAAATATTATAAAAAATAAATACTGCTAAAAAAAACTAATAATACTAATTTAGAACAATTATTTTTTAAATAGCAGAAATAATAAATAGTATAGAGGTGGAGATAGGTTGTTGAAATATTAATTATATTAGATATTGGAAGAAAGATATAGGATAAAGTAGTTACCAGTTTGAAAGAAATTTTATCTTTTAATTTCTAAAATATAAATAATTTTCGAATTTCTTTTTATTATAATCAATAAATAATATTGGACTTTTTGACAAAAGAGCGTTTTACATAGAATGTAGTTTCTGACAAAAAAAAGCTTGTAGATTCACTTGAGTAAAAGCCACAGTTCATTTTGATATCATATTTTGTAAAAAAAATGTTTGCTCAACGATATTACTAAGTTTAATAGTTTTTAACATCTTCGCAAAAGAAATTACAGAGTTAACAAAAATTTGTTTCTTCTTCTTTTCTAAGCAATTTTTTATGACCTTAAAAAAATTCACACACTATGTTTGAGTATATCTTCGAAAAGAGCATAAAATTCTGGTTTCTATTCATTTAGAATGCTTTCAAATAGATGAATAACAAACAAAAAATTTCTCTCAAAACTTGCGCACTACTCGTTAATCTCTGACAGTAATCAAGCAGATTCCATGTCGAATTAGCGGCAGACAGCGTATACAAATGCTGATTATGACATTGAGAGCGAAGTCATTTCACTGTGGAAATGTAGAAATAGATCATAAATGATCTAACCGAGGATAAAGAATTAATCTATTACATCTCAAATAAGACCTGATAAAATAGCTATGATAGTTCTATACAATAAATATATTAGTAAACAATAGATTGATTTGAAAGTTTCTCTAATGAGAAAACATTTTCAACTTATCAATTGCTTCTTCATCGACAGATAGTGAATTAGATAAATACACTTTTGATCCCGGAAATTAAGCATAATTGACTCCGGTTATTAATTTTCGTCAAAAAATGAACAAATGATACTGTTTTTTTCTCGAATAATATAATTGATCCCGGAATATTAGCAAGTTATAGCTTCGTCTTTCAATTAGAGGCTCATTGAACAGCTATGCGAGCTCGCTTTAACCATAGGATTTAGCTGCACAAAAGGGTGTGGGTGGTGTGGAAGTGGAGGTGGAATTAACTATGGTGAACACCCACACCCACACCCGCACCCACAGCCACAGCCACAGCCACACACCCACAATTATGTGTTATGAGAATTATTACTCTTACAAACGTTTTTATAGTTTTCATTTGAAGACAATGACTGTTGCCCTTATAGTCTGAGATAACGAGATGGGTAAACCGCTCAAATTGACATGTTCTTATTGAATTACAGGAAACAAATCTTATCTATCCTTAATCTTGACTGTTTTCTTTCATAGATTGCTTGGATTAATCACTTAATAAGCAAAAGTTGCACATTGCCTCTAGCTACCATGAACCAAAGAGAAAGCCGGAAAGTCATGATGATAAAAGCGTATATTTAACTACTAAAAGACCATATAGCTGTTCAATGAGCCTCGGATTGAAAGACGAAGCCATAACTTGCTAATATTCCGGGATCAATTATGTTAGTCGAGAAAAAAAATAGCTTTTTCCGGGATCATTTGTGTTATTATATAATTAATTAAAAATTATTAGAAAAACAGTATCATTTGTGCTTAATTTCCGGGATCAAAAATGTAAGTGTCCTAGTGAATTTTAGATTATCTACCATGCTGATCCGAATATAACAATAAGAAATCTCCTAAGGACTTTATAGGTCGGCTTTCAGGCTAACAAAATTTTCTTCAAACAAGTTTTTTTGATATATTTACTGAAAACTAGAGGTATTACATTAGCATTAATATTAAAACTAATCTTAACGCTTTCGCATCATTGGCATTGTAATTAATTAATACCCAACTGTTAGCATTAAATTAGAATTATTTTTAATTCTAATATATATTCTATCTGCGATCATCGGAAATATATGTATTACAATAAAAAGAATAATGCTAACAGTTTGATATTAATTAATTCTAAAACGACATTCATACTTAAAATTCATATTTGGAAAACAGGAAAGATTAATGACTTACGAACAACTCGATAGGCTCTATACTCTGAATAGATCACAAACGATTTTCGCAGAATGTTTATTAGCCTGGAAAATCAGTATGGTTTCAATGAAAGAGTGTTTGGTTAGTTAAATACATTTCCTCGTAAATATATGATAAATCAATAAGTTGAATGAGTTCGAATTCAAAATTCTTTAGCTATGAGAATATTGACAAGACAATAATTCTTATGACTAAAGAATTCTTTTTTTTTTTAATATGCTATTATGTATGTTTTTGTTATTTTCTAATAAATATTTGAAAAAACAAAACTACTCACTTTTCCTCTTTCTAATTTTGAAGGTGGTGGTGCCTTCTTATCTTTACTTGCACCACCACCTGCACTTTTGATACGTTTTTCATCTATAGAAAAGGAAAAAAAATAAATATTTCAATATTATTATCAATAATAATAATCTTACTTTCTTGTTGTTTTGTATATTCAAAAAATTTTTTCCATGATTCAAATTCATAACCATCTAAATAATAAATTCAAATAAATAAGTTTTAAAAACTTTTATGTTTTTTTTATATAACATACTTAAATCAATATCTGGATAAGATTCACTTGATGGTTCATCAATTTGAAGTTTTTGATGAACAATAATCATTTTATCAACAAATGAATCAATAAATTGATTCATAATATCATAACTATAATATACGTTTGTTTTTGTTTTCTTTTATTCTCTAAATAATTTCAATTTTAACTTACCAAACTAAATAAGTTGTTTGTTCAGAAGGTAATATTGGTTGAAGTGTTAATTGATGAATAGCTTGATTAAGTTGTTCAAGAAATATTTGTTTATTTGGATTATCTTCATCAAATGATAAAATTTGATTGCGTAATGTATCAATTGATAAATCCCATTTTTGTTCTTCATATTCTGGTACAACTTGTTCGTATAATTGTTTTATTTGTTCAACTATTTCATAATCAAAATAGAGCTATAAAAAAGAAAAAAAAAACAATAAAGATTTTATTTTTATTTTAATAGAAAATATAATTTTTACATCAGGATTATTTTGTTGAAATTGTTCTTGATCGGTCATATAGAAACCAACAGGTGAACGAGCTCGTTCAGGTGTTCGAACATTATCCAATATATTAGAAACAATTTTTCGAACAATACTTTCAGCTTCTTTATGAAGAAGCGTTTTCTAACAAAAAAACAAAAACAATTTTTTTTATTGATTTTCTTTTCATAATAATAAATATACTTCAATATTAATACGTGTTTGTCGATGAATATCTTCTTCAATTGTTACTCCACGTAATGTAAATATAATTGGTCGACCACCACAAAGAACAGGACGTGTTAATAATTGCCAACGTTCAGTAAATATTCCTGGTTCAGTTGATTTAAATACAAATGAAAGTTTCAGAGTATCATTTGGTAATATTGAACCTTAAACAATAATAATAAACATAAATGAATATATATGAATTAAAAAAATTTTAACGAAAGCAAAGATAATAATGTGCAGATAATTAAGTATTATGTTAGAAATTTCTTTGTTCTCAAGTAAAAGCAAGATAATGAAATATATATATATATTAGGGATTGATAATCTAGATTTAAAATCTATTGTTGGTAGATACGAAAAGCAGTACATCTTTTGATGCAAGAACATTGAATAGTATGATTGAATATGTTAAATTTTGAGTCAGTATCGATCAAGATAAGATAGAGTAACGGCAAAGCGGAGAAGAAAATCGCGATTGCATTGCGTATCAACATATGTATTTTAGTTGAACAATAGAATATGGGTGATCAGGATCAGTATTTTATCGTGATTTTCTCTTGCGCAACACAGACACATCAGAGAGGTTTCAATAATCGTACAGTCCGATTTTCGGATAAGTGCCACCTTTTCGATTGTCACGCTGGATAAAAGGCTGATTAGAACGTCAAAATACTTTGAAAATTCTATTTGATAGAGTTTATTAGTCTTAATCAGTAAATCAATTCAAGGATTTTCGATTCTGTCATTTTCCACGATATATACAATGGTTTACAAAATTATTCGACCAGATTTATTTTTAATTTTTCTGTATTACTGTAAGCACTAAGAAAAATTCAAATTTGCATTTGAATAGAGAATTTCATTTTCAACAACACCCGCCGAAGATGTAAATGATCGAGTGTTCGAAAAAAAAACAAGATTTTCAGTTCGTAGAATTTGCAAATATAATCCTCTTTGCATCATATAAAATAATAGATTCAAACAATTCTCTACGAGATTATTTAAATGAGATATATTAACTTTACGAAAAGTACAGCAATATTGTTATCATACGACATAACAATAAAAATGTTTTGTACCTTCGGTAAAGTTGATGTGTCTCGTTAAAAAAAAATGCTCGTAGAGAGTTTTCTGTCTAACTCAAACAAGATCCTATTTGCAAATTCAAGGAACTGAAAAACTTAGTTTTTCATAAACTATATCATCGAAATACTAGCAATCATTTTCACCTTCGAAGACTTTCCTTAGTCTTAAAATTCTTCTTACAGGAAACTACTTCAAGTGATAACTTTGTTTCTGAGTTCTGATTTTATGCATAACTAGGCTTCAGTGAGATATGAGACCATCATTCGTTTTTTTGTTATAGACTGTGCCATAAGCTAAAAGCAGTGAAATGCCCATGCCGCTATAAAGAAAGCCTAAGTGTTCTCATCATTTTCGAGTTGTTTTCATACCTTATTAGAGTCTATCATTAAAAATAAACCATATTGAATAATTCTAGAAATCACTTTATACTCTATTTTGTTTTATTAAATAAATGACTAGATTCTAAAGGAATTTCACCAAAAGTAGCCTTCCTTACATAAAGCTTGCTGTTGCTTTCTACCAAACAAACTATCTCAATCTTTATGTAGAAAAGCACTTTGAACATAAGATTCCTTTCTAGTACTATACAGCATCAAATTAAATTTATATGTAAAAAACTTATTCTAGAAATGAACGTCAATTATGTAATCTCTGATTTTCAAATAAGAAATCGGTCCTATGGAAGAAGTCACAATGAATATTCGCGAATCGATTTAAACTAAAAAAAAACTAACGAGGAAACCGCCCGAAGTGATTCAAAGCTTTTAAGCCGATATTTTGCCCATAAGTAGAGTCCAATGAGACTAGAGAAAATCCAAAAGGACAAGGGCCCATGGACCTTCCTTCTCGAGTTATGGTCATTTTACTGGGTTTATCACCTATGATNTCTTGAGATTGCAATATCTCGAGAATGGCGCTTTCGTTTTGGCTTAAACTTTCAGGCTAATATACGAGCCACAAGACCTACATGTGGACAAAATTTCAGGTCGAAACTCCTTAATTTGATTTTTCGGTGAATATCGTATCATAGGTGACAAACCCAGTAAAATGACCATAACTCGAGAAGGAAGGCCCATGGGCCCTTGTCCTTTCTCTAATCTCATTGGGCAAAATATCGGCTTAAAAACTTTGAATCACTTCGGGCGGTTCCTTTGTAAGTTTAACATATAGCATAAATAATATCATGCACTTTAATTTTAAGAAAAAAAAAAGAACTATCAAGCAATAGCAAATAAGATTTGTCATGTCTACCGTTAGAATAAAAAGGATTCTCGTAACGTTGAAATACAGGTTCTACAATTAATATTATTTTGTTAATAAAAAAACCAAACGAAAAAAAAACAAAAAAGAACACAAAACATTTTCTAATTATTTACTTGTACGATTATCAAAATAGAAACGTTGAACTTTTGAATTAACAATATCAAATGGTTTTGTATATGGTTTTTGTTGCCATTCATAATAAAAAACTGTTGTTCCAACATTTTTTATTTCAACCATACGTGTTACACTATCATTAACTTGACTATCAAATTGAACACGAATTTCATAAATAAAATCAAGTTCTTCATTTTCATTCACATTTGGCATTTGTTGAAATACAAATGTATCAATTTTTAAAGCTGGACCTATTTAAATTTTGCAAAAAGAAAAATAATAAAATTTATTTTGTTTATTCTTATTTACCCATAATAGGTGCATCAGCAATATCTGGTATATCATTAAATGTATCGCCCATATTTTCATTTTCTTTATCATTATCATTTATTTGAATATTATCTGTAATTTCTGTTTCATATTCTTTATCTTTTTCATTGTTTTTTTCACAAACATGAATTTCAATATTATTTTTTTGTTGACTTTTACGTCTTGTTGCATCATAACCAATAATTTCTAATGATGATAGATCAGCTTTATGTGGAACTATTTCTTTCATATATGGATTTAATTGATTAAGTCGTTTTTCCAAATATCTATGTTTTTATTATTAATAAATAATATTTTCGATACTAATGAAGAAGAACAACAACATACTCAGAATTAAACCATTGTCGTTGATTTAAAACTTGAGAATTTTTATTAGTTAAATCTATACCAGTTTCAAGAAGACCAACACTTGGTTTACCAATTGTTTCAAATGGTGGTGGAAAACCAGTTTCCGTACGTGTTAATGTAGTACTAAAATATTTTATTTTATTATTCACAAAAAAGAAAATATTTAATAGAAAAAAATAGAATTTCTATATTAAGAAATAATTTCTTACTGTATTCCTGTATCATCATCTCCAATAAGTTGTTGTTGTGTCCAAAATTCACTATTTAAACGCCAATTTTTTCCATTTTGTAATAATGGTAATGTTGCATCCATAAGTTCAAGAAGTTCTTTACGTTCTCGCCAACGATCTGTTTGATTCATTAATAAAGTAGCTGGTGATCGTTTCAATTCCTCTAAAATAATAAACAAAAACAAATTCTTAATAAACTTATCGCGAAAATCTTACTCATAGCAACAATAAAGTTCTATGATAAGAAATAAGGTACTCATTGCCATAACTTTCAATGTTTAGTATAAATAGATCAAATAAATATATTTAACTTGATATGAAAACAAATACAGATTCTATATCTGATTCAAACATGTATAGAGAATTGTCATAATTAGAGATGTACAGGACTCAACTGTTTTTTGTTTAGTCTCAATCCTGACGTAGAAAAAAAACTATTTCAGAATTTATTCTAATTATTTTTAAAACTTTGTGAAAATTTTATCATCATCTTTCGNCTCTACAGAAGTCAAATACTCCTGATTAAGAACAATCTCTAGAAGGATATGGATGTGTGAGAAGCGATTTAGTAGAAGAATAAATTCAGAAATGAAATGCGATCATTCAGCTCTAATTGAATGGTCCAAATCTGATGAAGTGATTTCTAAATTTGTTCATACCTGAACTCTTTTCTGGTCCAGATGATGCAGATACGGCACGTTTTTTAGTGGTACTTTGTGTTGGTTCTTCTTGACTTTCTAATGAACGTTTATTTGATGTTGTTGAAGTATTCGATGGTAATTTTGCCACTAAATAAATATTTATTTAATAAGATGGCAAGCAAAAAAACAAAAAAACATGACTAACTGGATTTAACACGATGAATTTTTCGAATGACATTCGTACTTGTATTTGTTTGAATCAATTTCTTTAGATCAATATCATATGATCGACTTTGACAAGTAACAGATAATGTTGTTTGATCATTATTAATTGCATCAGCTATTTTAGTCATTATCTCTGCTGCATAAGATTCCCATTTTTTATTTTCATTTTGCCATTCATAAACAAAAAATCCATTTTCATCTTTTAATTCAAGACAAAGACGTATACGACGCATAAATTTTGTCTTTTTATTAACTTGTGTCATATCACTAAATTTTATTGTCATACTTATTTCATCTGTTATATTAACATCCACCTGAGGAAAAAAAAAGATCTAGAAATTTTGTTTTATTCAATTTAAAACAAAAATTATTTTTTACGTCTTTATTTCCAGCATCGAATGCTTGAGATATTTCTTGTTGAATATTAGTTGGATATTGTTGCCAAATACTTTTATCACCTTCCCATTCCCACTGTGCGTTATGACCGGAAACAATAATTGTAGTACTACTAGATGCCATTCTATTGTGAATATTGTCAAATTATGATTACACGATTTCGACTATTTTTTTTTTGAGTATTTATCATCATTCTAACCACAAAACAGTAATTGGCAATTGATGGTGCAAGAATAAAACTAAATAATAATACTATTATTGGTGGAATTTATGCCTTCGTTATGTTCGTATATCAACGACATCTTCTACTGAAAAAACATTGTATTTTTATTATGATGAAATTCGAACTTATCATTGCTCATTTAATATTAATTCATTGTGACTGATCAAAATGAGAATATATGGTATCTTAGATACCTCTAGCGAACAAACAGTTCACATGAGTAGTAAAAAGTATTAGAAATGAAAAAAGTGTCGGAATATGTTAAACTACAGCTTTCGTTCTTAATGAATTGCGTAATAATCATTAATACCAAAACTAACCAACAATAGATTCTTCTAAATACCAAGAGTTCGTTTAATTTTATTAGAGTATCACAGTCTCATTTTTTTTTCGAACCATTACACAGCACAACAAAGCCATCACTTTGAATATGTTTGACATACATCTAGTTGATAATATAGAAGTAATAGAGCCCATTGGGATTAACATTTCATGTAAAGGTGTTAAGCATAGCTTTAAAAATATATATATCGCGTTTAATCATTAAATCGACTTGGATAATAGGACTCATGCAATGCTAAATGAGAGAAGTCATTGATTCAACTTTGGTTTTTTTAAATGAAACTTACATTATTTTTATGTCATAAATATTTCATTTTCATTTGCTTCAACTGAATAATAGAGTTCGGTTTACAGTTAACAACGTGAAAAACTAAACGTAACATAGTTCTCTCTAGACTCAGACAGGACAGTAAAACCTGTCGGGTTCAAAATTTTCGTACTAGGACAAATTATACTTCGATACTTACAATGAAAATCTTCTAATCAAAATTGCATAGTCACCCCGACGATATGAGATACATTTTCTGTTTTTATTTTATATGACGGCTAGTATTATCCTATCATTTCTCGAAGGACTTGACCTTGTCTGGTTAAAAACTTTTCCATCCGAACTCAATAGGGTCTATCAGACAGACATATTGTTATTTGCAAAATGAACATTCACTTCTTTATTTTCTTGCTGCAGATATTTTAATAATGACTGATACAAATGTTGATCCTTCAATTGAATCTTTTAATCCATTACGACAAACTTTTCGCAGTCAAAGTGCTGTAAGAATAAAGATTATGTTCTTATTTTATTTTGTGAATAATATACTCTCTTGACTAGATTCCTGGACATCGTACTAAAGCTCATAATAAATATTATGAATATTTAAAGAAATTACAAGAAAAAAATAAATTAATTAAAGAATATAATGATCAACATAAATCAAATGATGATTATTTAAAACAACGTGAAAGTGGCTTTCAATTATATGTTAATGGAGTTCATAATGCACCACCTCGACGACCACCATCTGTTTTACGTAAAAGACTTGATGATTCATCTAATCGAACTCAAACTCCTGCACCTTTTTTTTCGAATTTTTCATCTCCAACTTTATCAAAAACACCTAAACGATCGAATTCTCATCGTCGTCAATGGACATCAACAACACAAACAAAAATAAAAACTGAAGAAGGTTCTATTATAACTGATATTAATTCTCAAATGTCACATTCAAATATTCATAAAAAGAAATCTCAACATATAAATGATCAAATGATTGAACTTGATCGAAATCAAATACAATCAAATATTGTAAATAATCATATCACCTATCGTTTAATGACATCAGTCAATGTTGATCAAAGTTGGATGCCTAATTGGTTTAAAAATACTAAATCACAACCGAAATCGAATGATGATAATTCTGATTCTGATCAAAGTCTTTGTAAGTTTTTAATCATGTTGAGAATTATTTTCTTTTTTTTGTAAAAACAAATTCTTCTATAGCTTTATCTCTTGATGACATAACAACAACAATTCCTTTAACAAAATCTCAGCAACAAACATATCGTTTATCGACAACGGTAGGTAGGTCAGGCTATTCTATTACTTCTCTATATTTATAGTAATATAAAGTAACATAATCTGACTAAAAAACAAAAAAGGAATTTTTTTTTTTCTTTCCTCTTATTGTCGATCGTTATGTAGTGAAGAAGGCATCTTGGCAACGTCGGTCAAAAAATAAGAAAGAACGGAACATAATGGTGATTTTTTTTTCGTACATATATTTTTCTTTGTTAATTGTCAAACAAGCGAATATTATTTGAAAAAAAAAATGAGTCGTCGAGATATACCAAAACTTCCTACTACCGGAAAATACAATGCACCAAGACCGGGAGAAAAACGACCGGGTAATAATAAAGAATAATATTTCATCATATAATTGTTGAGTAGTTCATTTAATAACAATAAAAATAATTACAAAAATATACTCGTCCTAAATCTAACATGAATTCATTATAGGGTCTATTAGTTTTAACATTTCTTACAAATTCATAAATACAATCATATTTATTATTAAAATATTAAAAAATTTAATGCAATAATGACATTTTAAAAAATGACCAAAATAAATATTTAATGTTTATAATTAAATAATTAATAAATATCTACTTATTATCTGATAGGAGCACGACTTGCTGGAGGTGATTTAATGAAGAATAGCAGCACACATACAAATAATCCACAATTATTTATGGGTGGAGCAGCAAAAACTGTTGATAGTCTTGATCTTGAAAATTTTTTACATCCAAAGTAAGTTTTATATATGTAATATTCGTCGACAGATGAATAAATTGTTTTGCGTTTTTTTTTCTTTCTTATTTTAGAGAAGTTCATATTGGTTCTGAGATAAAAGATCAGAGATCATCTCAACCACAGCAAGCATCCAATAAACGAAATGTTTTTCGAGATAATACTTCCAATGGTATTGTCAAGTTTATTCATAACGTTAATTTTTATTATTGAAAACTATTAGATCGTCAAGCAGATTGGCTTGAAAGATCAATCACTCAAATCGATTTGTTTAGTCGACGACATCTTGGAATGGTTGAAAGTATTCAAAAAAGAATTTCCATAGATTGATGAATAATTTTTTTTTTTTATCTATTAGATGAACCAGCTGATGAATATCTTCCAAGTGGAGCTTCCAAAACTGAAAATGAAAATGATGAAGAAGAGTAAAAATAAATTTAATTTATTTAATAAAATAAAAATTCTTCTTTAGATTTTCAATACCTGAATTACCTAATGGAGAACAATTAGTTTTTAATTTAAAAACAACATGGGGTGATCGTCATTATGTCGGTTTAAATGGTATTGAAGTATTTTCTGGTGAAGGCTATCCAATACCAATTAAAAAAGTAATGCATAGTTGTTTTTTTTTTTTTGTTTTAAATTTTATTTAAAACAAAACGTTTTCTTAATAGATCACAGCAGATCCACCCGATATAAATATTCTGCCTGAATATGGTAATGATCCACGTGTAGTAAGAAATTTAATTGATGGAGTAAATAAAACTCGAGATGATATTCATATGTGGCTTGCACCATTTACAGCTGGTAAAAATCATTTTGTTTATATTACATTTGAACATCCGACTAAAATTGCAATGATTAGAATATGGGTAAGAGTTGAATCTTCTTTTATTTCAACACTCAAAATCTCATTATGAATTGATTAAAGTCAGATTCGAAGAAATCACATCTTAGAGTTCGTTTGTGTTTGATCTTATTACGCTAGGATAATTTGAAAGAGTTTGGAAAAAATTTAAGTAACTTAAAACGATTTCCTGTCAAGATTGATAAATCTGAACAATCGAAAAAAGCTGCCTAGAGAATGAGAATCAACCAATTTTCTGATTTTCGTGCTAAGCGTTTACGAAATAACTTTATTGAATTCAAGACAGCTGCTCCCTAATGAAACTTACTTTCAAACAATGCCTTCTCCATTGACTAGCTCAAAATAATTTTTGAAGAACTAAAAATTGCTCGAAATCATGATGAGGCTTGTGATAGTTATCAGTTATTACAATATTGACCGCAATGGCTGAGTGGTTAAGTAGTTCGACATGTATCCACAAAGTACTATGTTCAAACTTTGGTACCATTAGCGATGAAATGATCCTAGGCAAGACTCTAACGATTGTTTGTCTCAGATGACCTGTCCGATAACATGCTAATTACGTTATGACACACATCTAATCTTAGGATTAGTTATTATGTATGAGAAACTCGTCCAATTGAACGTAAGAATTCTGCGTCACATTGACCTTCTGCCCACATCCTGCATGAAGTACTAGTTGTAGACAAGACAAAATTCACGAAACGATTCCGAACGATGTGAATGCGAAAATCTACTCTCGATATCAAGTGTTCCCGCGAACAACAGTTGTGTTATCGGCTTTATTCAATAGAACCTCATTTTACTTAAAATCGTTTTTTTCTATCGAATAAAATAATTTTCCAATTGCATCATTTAGGCAGTTTTATTTGAGTATTCGTATCCACTAATACTGATTGAGAACCATTTGAAGTACTGAAAGTTTTTTTTTTTTTTTTACAAACTCTTCATAGTTATTAACATCGAGAATAGAATTCGAAAAATACAACTGCTCGGAAGTTTTACCTGCTATTAGATTTTTAGTATAGGATAATTATGTTTTTTTTTTTTAGGAAACCATTTTACTGTTAATGCTTTGATGTCGGACATAATTAGTTCGTTTAGATTTAGTTTTTATTTTATAAGTGTCCTAAACTTTTTCTTTATGCTTTATTATTGATCTGTAAAATCAATTGATGAAATGAAAAAGAAACGTATTTTTCAATATTTTAATATAGATGGTTAACAAATCATTGTAAATGAAATCAAAATATAAGCTCTGAGGTAATAATAATCGTAATCATTTTATTTAATTGCTTTTATGAATCTCTATCTACTAAAAAAATGATTCGTTTAATTCATTCTCATTATTCAGATCTTTCAATATTTTACAAATCAATTTACTA